CAAACCTACTGAGTCCGAAACTCTGGATGGAGCCCAGAAGTCTGTTTTAACACACTCTGAAGGTGATTTTGAAGAGAACCACTACCCTAGCTTAGACAACTTTGGCAGCAATATGTAGGACAGGTTTGGAGAATGGGGGGATGTCAATGAGACTTAAAGCAGGGAGACCAGTTAGCCAACCATTTTAAAAAGTCCATGCAATAGAAAATGGGAGCAGGGATGGGGTGTCACTACTGTCTGGGTGATAGAAAAAGTCATGGGCATGAATAAGGTAATATAGGGACAGATTGTAGAGTGAAAAGAGAAGGAAGGACAGAATTCTGGTGAAGAACAACAGTTAAGCGTAGAGGAAGAGGAAGCATTCAAATGAACAAGATTAAGAAAATGGAATTCCAAACGATGAGGTGAACTAGAGTTTCAAGAAAGGAATGATCAACAGTATCAAATATTCGAGAGACTGAGAACTGACTGTTGAATTTGGTTATTAGATCACTGTGACTTTAGTAAGAGAAATTTCAATGGAGCAATGGGGATGGAGGTCAGTTGCAGTTGGTCCAGAGTAGTGAATTGGAGTGAAGAAGTAGTGAATTGGAAAGAAGGGTTCTTGGGAGCCCTTGGGAAGAGGAATAGCACTTCCTCTGAGCTAGGAGGGAGGTTAGGTACACACATAGATGGATAAGGGGAAGTAGCAGCAGGAAGTGGAGGAAACACATCTGATAGCATAAACTTGTGGTAAAGTTAAGAAGCAGTTATCATTTTTGGGGGTGGGACGCATCTAGGAGGGTCTTAGAATAGTGGAATATCCTTTGTGAATTTCGGAATGAGGCCGCTGACGAGGTGGTAAGCCATAAATTTCCAAGGCTCTCATACCATGGTTTTATGATTTTATCTGGTCTAACTCAGTAGACACAGTAAAAGGATAGAGAAGATGGGTGGATAGAGTCCTCGTTTGGATGTTTGCCAAGCAGGTATGGCTAAAGGTCTAGAGGTCAAGGGAGTTAAGGGTGCTGGTGAGAATAGCTGAGATGATGCACCTTGGGGTCTGGCAGGGCCAGGAAAGGAAGAATGAAGTCTAGTGGGGGTATTGTCTGTTAGAAAGAGTAGGCGTGGGCCAGGCATTAGTAATCTGAGCAAGTAGAGGGAATACAGGAGTAAGGATAGAAGTTCTGAGAATGGGATATGGGAGTTTAGGATCACAGAGTTTTGGGTTGTGAAACAGCCTGATGTATAACCCTGGAAGAAAATGGCCAAAATTGAGTAGAAGTATAAGCTGTAAGCACTTGTGGCAAGGGTGTTGGATGGGTTTTCCTCAGGAACATTGAAGTCATCCAGAATGATGGTAGGACATGAGGTAGAGAGGAAACAGGGAGCCTGGTGCCAAGACTGGGAAGTCTGGGACATGGACTACATCGTGGCCACAAAGAATGGTAAAAGTTAAAATAGCTGGATGCCATACATTTTGGTAATAAGAGATTTTTGTACAAGATGGAAAGATGCAATGGTGCAGAACTGCCAGTGGGAAACTGGAGGACGTTTTCTTGGCTCTTTGGAGTCTGTGCAACATGGAAGAAAATGTGCAGCCTTTTGTGCCAAGAAAGAAGTGTCCTCAAGGGAGTGTCAAGTTTTATTGAAGCTTAGGAAGTGGAGGCAGCATTCAGTGAGGAGGCTGTAAGGAGAGAAGGACTCCAGAGGAATTGTGGGAAAGATTAGGAGTGAGGGGGACTGTGTGTTGCCAGTTGAGGGCAGTGGGCACAGGATTCAGGAGAGAGAAACAGAGGAGAGGGCATCTGGGAGTATATAGGAGAAAAAGACATTTAGGGCAGTAGTGAAGGGTCACAGGAGCAGGCCTGAGTAGTGTCAAGTTCTAAATAGAATATTGTTGCCAAAATGCTAGTATTTGTATCCCCTCGGCAATGGTATTTTTCACTGCAAATATCACCAGGTTGTGAGCCTGGGTTGCATGATAGTTTTTCTAAGGGTCTGTCATTTCAACCCACTGAACATTCCCCACCCCCCCCACTTTTTCTTTTTGCTGAGGAAGATTGGCCCTGGGCTAACATCCGTGCCCATCTTCCTCTACCCTATACGTGGGATGCCTGCCACAGCATGGCTTGATGAGCAGTGTGTAGGTCCACGCCCGGGATCCGAACCTGCAAGCCCCAGGCCGCCAAAGCAGAGTGCACAAGCTTAACCGCTATGCCACCAGGCTGGCCCCCTCCCGTCCCCCTTTTGTGTGACAATATATACCAGGATAGCAAACTTTTGCTTTTTTCCCCAGAGCGTCATTAGCATAATCACTCAAAGAATAGTCCCCCCTTGATTGATTCAAGTAATAGAAAAATTGGGTTCACATCTGTGTAAATGGGCCCACATAACTCCTTAAGCTGTGGTATTTTGAGAAGCAATTGCTTTTTTTTTTCTTCTCATTTTTCATTACAATATCCACTGATTTATACTGGGTATCTTGGGTGACATATGATTGCAACAGTAAGCTTGAAGTTGTAAATATCTGACCATTATTAAGATGTAAAATAACAAAAATAAGAAAAATTTACAGAAACAAATCATCAGGACTTTTGCTGTGAGACCAAACCTTGAAGTAATAAAAAATGGTGTCAAACAGAACAAACTAGAACAATGAGACTGATGCATATAATCTACTTTTCCTATTATTGATTTTGATGACCCCATGTCCTCCTCTAGTTCATAGTGCCATCATAAGCATTATATTTTATATCATTTATTAGAGTACATTTTTTAAAGCATAACAATCTGTTTTAATTACACTTAAATGTCTCTGGATAAGTTTAATATTTATATATTTTTTAATCAATAGAAAAACATTTTGATTATATCTTTGGAAACATACTTGTCAAGCTCAACAAACAGCTGAAATCATGTGGCTTTCTAATAGACTCCTTTGAAAAAGTGCTTTACCTTGCAGAACTATTAGCCAGGAAGTACTATGGCATTAAGTTATTGCAAAGCATTGCGATTCATCCAGGAAAACACATGGCTACGTACTTCGTGGGTTTCTTATGTTTAGCTACATCCTCCTTCATCCTCATAGAGAAGTGATCCCTGCATTGCTCATGAACCTCAAGGCTGCTAAATGATCTACTGTGTCCCAGTCAATCAGTGGTGGCCCCCAATTTTATACTATCTAGACTGACACTGATCTCAGGCGATCACCCTTATACCATCTCCCATTCCTCTCCATGCTTGGAAAGGTGCTTGCGCCCTCTTCTGGCCTGACTTTACTAGAAACAGTGTTGACAAAGGAGGACACATTCTTTATCATCCCACATTTTGAGCTGACCCTCCTGCGGGAAGTGTGTAAAATCATACTCCTGGCAACACTTAACCCCAAGATTCATGTTGTCATCAGATAGGACAGGCCATGGTAGAATATGGCCCTAATCAATCCTGGTGAGAATTGGACCTTCCCTTGACCTCTCCATTCCAATCCTGGACAAACGAATCTCGCGTTCTCCAGTACCCCTCTCCAGGCAAGAACACAAGGCCTGTGTAGACAAATAACTCTCCCACCCAATTTTAGTCAAATGTGATTATCATGTGCTAAACATTAGACAGGAAAGTAACAGTTTGTCTTGGACCTGTGACTTCATCATCAACAGGAGTCCACCCATTTTGTGATGATGGCAGTCTCTCAAACCCCCTCTCAAGGAGTATGGAACGCTGATATTACCTGGCTCATTAGCAGAGATCCAACAGGACTTCACAACCAAACCAATTAAGACCACGGAAAACCTCAGAACTATTTATTCTTAGTTACCAATCTCTAATTTTTTAAATGATCAAAGCAAAATTCTCAATGCCTGAGTGTCTCCCTATCACCTTTTATTGGACTTGCAATTGTGTTTAATTTGACTAAAGTCAATAGGTAACTTGAACACTATTAACAATCCTATTTGAAGATGCTGGTTGCAACATTTTTTCCACTTCGCTTTCATTTCATAACTAAATGGTTCTAAATCTTGTTCCTGGTTGTTTATAGGCTGTTTCATTTGCTACCATCCCTCTCTCCCTTTTTTCCTTAGAATCTTCAAGGATTTCAGAGTTCTAAGGTACCCCGTGCAATATTACTAAGCTCTTAATATGATTTGTTGAGGATGATGATGTTTACATTTTTAATTTCCCCAGGATCCAGAATTTTGACTTGGCCAATATTTTGAATTTTAGAGCTTAGATTAGGCTATCAGTGTCTTAATGTGGTTCTTAGTCAAGTTTCTTCATATTCTATGTGAAGCAGAGGATAAAAACCAAATTCCCTCTATCTGGTCCATTTTGGCAAAAAAGAAGAAAAACATAGTTGGCCTGGGAGGGCCATTTAGCCAATAAATATAGGTTATTATCTTCTTAAGCAATCATTAACACTGAAAGAAAACATTAGAACATGCATGCATTTCACTTCAAATTCAAGGTTTTAAATCAGCCACCCCCATTTAGAGGACTGATGGTTGACTTGAAGGCGCCCTTTGAGAAACTGATTTTGCAGCCCTTTCTAGGGCACTGTGTAGATCCTCCTAAAAACAGCAGCACCCATTCTGTCCCTCCCCTGGATGTAAGCAGGCAATCTGATTCCCATCCAGCCATTCTGAGGGGGTTTCATTTTTTAGTCCCAAGTGGGTGACCAAATTGGTAATCTAAGGTCATTTTGGGGAACAATTTCAGGGGAAAAATGTAATGACTTTTGTCACGGAATGGAATTTCATCAGCCCCAGGCTAGCCCTGGTCCATAGGAAGTTTATGAATGTTTGTTACAGTTGATAGACTGGAAAATAGTCAAAGGAGAGATCCACACTTTAGCAGCCAGACACTGACTGAGAAGATGAGTCAGATTCCAAGGCCTTCTGGATTGACTGACTAGGAAAGCTCAGAGTATCGAATATCTCTAGACAGTTGTCACTGTGTCTCATGATGACATCCACACACCCACACTCCTGAAGAAGATGCTACAAATGAAAGATGTCGGAGTCTAAGGAACATGGCAGCCATTTAATAAATCTACGTAGGCGCCTCAAATTGAACTCACTTGTTAATATGTAAATGGTAGCTTCTCAGTCTATCCCCAAATAAAAATATATCCTCTAAGTGTTACAAACAAAAATTTAAAATAATCATAAAATAGTTTAAATATTTCATTACTCGGCTCAGAGTTCTGATGGTGAAGCAAAGCGCGGCTCCTTCCCCTTCTCACATTCTAACTGGAACACAGTCCTTATCAGAGCGTAGACACCACAGTGCACTGAGATTGACACAAAGCCTGTCTGCCACATTTTTTGATAAGGCAGGAATGTACTTTTCACACCTCCTGAACATGGTCTTCCTCATCTGTCACCACTATATTTCTTCACTTTGCCTGCCTAGGAGGGAAAAATGGTATACCCTAGGACTTTTCTTATGGGTTGACAGCTCATTGGCTGTTGGTATAATGTCTTGTTCCCAATGAGAATGGAAAAACACTGACCAAAGGCCTATTCACCGCTCCCCTTGCTCGCTCATCTCAGTGCCCTCTGAAAGCAGAACTTATCAGCTGGCCCACCAGTTATCTCTGCCAGGGACACTGGCTTAAAAGGTATGGGACAAGATTTCAAAACTGTAAGGCTTATCAGGAAGAAGGGAGAGAGGAATATGTATGTATCCGTTGCAGGCATCAGCATCCAATTTCTCACTGGAGGAGGTAACTTCAGCTCAGCCCCTACCCAGCCCAGCACCAGTCTTGGTTGTGAGGTCTTCCCAGAGGTACTGCCAGCCCTTAGAGAAATTTCTGCAATGACTGAGCTTCTGGACAGAATTTAGCCAGACTTGAACCTGAGAAGAGGTGCATAGGGCTAAAAATAGGTCTTATTTATCTTTGTTTCTCATACAACATAGTTGTCTTAGAAGGTCTGAAAGTGTTGATACCCTGAAGGGTTTTGCCATGAGAAGGGCTCCTGTGAAGGCCTTCGTAGGATAGCACCAAAAATCTGCCAGCAGGTTATATTAGTTTTCCTTCCTCTCTCCAGCTGAAAAGGAAAGAACCATTTGAAATTCTAAATAACAAATAAAATCAGATTAGTTTATTGCTTCTGCTTGCATATAGACAGGAGAGGAACAAGTCTGAGTGCCTGGGGTGGGTGGTGGATGAGGGGGATTATGGAAGGGAGAGGGGTCCCTCAAATCTGCTCTGAGCAATGGAAGGAGAGGGAGAAAGGGATGTACCCACTGGCTAAAATGAAACACATTGTCAAGATGGGCAGCTGTCACCAAGCAGTAACGATGGCTAGCCTGCTAGGGCTCCCCCCTTACCCCTTCCTGTACTGCTGGTCCCAGCCTAGTGTGGAAGGAGAGTAAAGCTGAGCTAGAGGTGTTTGCTGCCTATGTGTGAGGCTTTTCTCTATGAAGACATCTTGTTCTTGGACTCTGATATTGGGAAGAAAGCAGATCACTTCACTATTGCATACCTAAATGAAGATTCAGCACATTTCATTGAGGTGAGCCTCAGCTCAGCCCCCACCCTGCCCAGCTACTGGATTTATAAATCAGAGGTCAGCGTAGCGGCAGTTGGAGTCCCAAATTAATAAAAGCCAGAGCCAGAAAGTCTTCTTGGACTGTGCCAGTCTCCGAGTTTGCTCTTGAGTATAGATTCTGATTTTCTATGCTGGTGTGTGGAGCCATCTTGGACAGATCTGCAAGCGTTCCAGGGAAAGAGTACGGGTAAATTCACTCACTAAGTGTGTTAGTTTGCATTTCCGAATCTGCATAGTATACTTTTCTATTCTGGATAGTATACTTTTCTGGATAGTATACTTTTCTATTCTGGATAGTATACTTTTACAAAGCTTATCAGAACACTGGTCTAAAAGAACACATCCTTTAAAGAGCATTAAAAAGCATGAAGTAAATAGGAGGCCTTCAAACCTCAATAGTAACATTTTCCAACACAGGCAAAAGACTTCTCTTTCTTTCAAAAGACATAATCACACCCAGCTCTCCATGGCAACAGATAATGGCGATGGGGGAGTAATGCAACTCACAAGTTTCAAACCTCATTGGAGGCCATCCTCTTCCCTCACCTGACCTTTCCCTGCCTGCTCATACAGACTTGTTTAAATTTCATCTTTTGGTCCTTCTCTTGACTTCTCTTCTGGCAAATGGACTAATTAACAAATGGTCAAAAGACTAAAGAAAGAGAAGAGGCCAAAATAAGCCCAAACTTGGATAACCCGTGCCTAGAATAATGGCAAGTTGCCCCTGTAATAACTTCCAGACGAATCATGACATTTTTTCAGACACCAGCATGTGAACTGATGTCATTCTATTTGCCTCCCACTTCTTCCATCCAGAATCACTGATCTCCGCTGGGGCTGGTAAAAACAGCTGGTTGAGGTCTCCAGTCTCTGGCCATTCTTAGGGATGGTCATTTTATTCCTAAGTGTAACCCCTTCTGGTGTGACCCACGTGTTTTCTGCCAACTCCCCACAAAGAAGACCAGGAGAAACTGTCTGGGTGGGACTTCTGATAGGGGACAGCAGGACCTTGGAATCTGTCACTGTGGATGAGGGGGGTGGGTGGTCCATAATGGGGAAAGGAGGACTGAATAAGATTAGGCTCTGAGGTCTTCCTGGCCTTGACCTGTGGAAAGGCTTAGAACTCCCTGATGGTCGCTCTATTTTTGAAGAAAGAAGGTTGTCCCCAGATGGCTCTGTCTCTGATGTGCGCTTTCTGCATTGCACTACTGCATCCTGGCTGGAGAGCAGGTTAGCCAAACCTGGTTCTGGAGAAAGGGTGGGTCCCTCGCACATGCAGGATGCAGTGGCATCCATTGGCAAGGACTCAACAGCTCCTGTATCTTGCTTTGGTTTCTCTTCCTTTGGGCTTTCCAAGGACGAGAGGGAATCACCTTCGGCAGGTTTCTGAGAGGTCCCACCAGTTGAGCCGGGTTCCTCTTGGTTCCTTTCCAGAGGCTGAGTCCCATTCTCCCCTGAGCTCTGAGTGGGCAGGGGCTGTGGGATCTGTGTGTACTGAATCTTGGGTGGGATGACTGGGACTGCCCTGGCCTGGCACATTTTGACCATGAAGGAGGTTCTCACAGCTGACACACTCACGGGAGCTGAGTTACGGCGGCCTGTCAGGGCATGAGCCACAATGTCCGGGTCCTGAGGGTCCTGGGAGTAAACCCTACAGGGGTCTACTTTACAGTGAGATGAGGTCATCCATGTGAACTTCGGGTCTCCTGGCTCAGAGAGCTGCATTCCAGGTGAACCAAACGAGGCCACATTCTCAAACCGGAAGAGGTCAGTGACGGGAATGGCAGAGTCCAAGTTGAGGGAAGAAGGCCTATTTTTCCCTCTTGGGGGCCCACACTCAGTGCTCTTTAGCTGTATCTTTGGGGGATGCTCTCCAGGTGAGGTACTGTCCTGCACGCTAGGGGAACTCTCCTTGCTGCTCTCTGGCCCAGGAACACCACCTTGCTCAATCTGAGGGTTGCAGTGCTCCAGGTGTGTCCCCAGTTCCTTTCCCTCTGCTAGGCTGACAGGGCTGGTTTCCGCTGGTTTGGGCTGCAAACCACCTGATCCCTTCCGGTTGGGAAGAACTTCTGTCTCTTGCAGGCCAGAGAACTCTCCGAAGGACCTCAGGGCTTTCTCATCCCATCCAGTAATCTCTTTCCTGGATGCCAGGGGCTGCAGAGGGTCAGAATTCCTCTCTGCTTCAAGATTAGCACAGCTGCTGGAGGAGGGACCCTTAAGAGTCCACTGGCTCTTAACTGTGGTTTTGCTATCTAGAGAATGGCTCTGGCGAAGGCTGGGCCTGTGGGAAAGCCTCTTCTCCAATCGGTGGCCCTGGGGGCCCTGCATCTGGGCCTCTTGCACATCTTTCAGAGTTGGGGAGTGAAGAGGACTCGTCACCCACTGGGGCTCCTCCCAGGGCTCCACCATCTCCAGGCCATGCTGGGCAATATCTGTCACAGTGTCGTCTTCGTCACAGTCTGAGGGCTCCTGTACTGAATGGGTGACATCCCCCTCTCCTTGTGGGGAGATCTCAACCTCCCTTGTGGGGCTTGGAAAACCAGAGCCTTTTCTCTCAGGAGCAGCATCCTTTGAATTTTGCTTTTCACTTTGTCCTGGAGAGGCCTCTTCTCCCTGACAAAGACTGGGGACCCCAGGGCTGCCGTTGGACTTCAGCTGGTCTGTATACGGATATGTCTTCAAATTCCTGGATGAATCTTCTCCCTCAGGGCTGCCCTCTGATAGCTGGACTCGAGGCAACTCCTCCATAGGAGTTGGAGGGGGAGGAGCAGGCGGGAGCACAGGAGACAGATTCCCTGGGCCTCCCACCTCCACCTTCGCTTGTGGAGAAACCGTCTCAAAGGGCACTATTTCCAGAGGAGCCAGGCTGGTGGGGTCTGGGCGCTGGCCCTTCTCCGGCTCGGATCTGTGGAGGCTGCTGCTTGTCTCAGGCTTTTCTCTATTGGTTGCTGTGGACGCCCCCTGTGTGCTCTGATTGGTTGGATCCCTAGTCCACTCCTCCAGGGGGATGGGGCCTGGAGCTGGGGCGGAGCCACAAGACAAGCTCCCAAGAGGCTCCGGGGAAGCAAAAGGCCCTGGACTGGACTCCAGAATTGGCTGAGTGGGGCTGATCTTTAGAGCAGGCGGTGGCAAAGCAGAGAGTTCTTCCTCAGATTCAATAATTTTCAGCTCCTGTTGAATCTCGGGCCACATCAGGGCGTTGGCCAGATCCTCTTCATCCTGAAAAACATCAAGAAACTGATTATCTTAGAACCAAGAACTCTCAGCGCTGAGATCCCCACTGTTTCCCAGTGAGACAGAAGGGGCTGGAGCAGTGCGAGGCTCTGCTACCTCAGCAAATAAAGGACACAGCATGAGTAATAACTGTGGGTGTTTATTCAGGGCTTATTACCATGTGCCACAACATGCTTTAACTGTATTTTCTTGTTTAATTTTCCCAACAACCCTAAGAGCTAACTACCACTATAATTTACTCCCATTTTAGAGATGAGGAGACTTACGTTCACGTAGATTAAATAATTTACCTAAGTCACACAGCAGCAGGACGGGGGTGAAATCCAGCTCTGTCTACACCACAACATAAGCGATCCATCCCTCTGTGCTGCTGTCTTACCAACCCTGGACTCATTTCACCTCAGGTTTACTGGTTGGCGCACAAGAACGAGATCCTCCCAGTGGAATGAAAATGTTAACTCGCCCTGACACCTACTTTCCAAATAAATAAATATAGTTTTTTTCTTTTTACCAAAGAAAATATTCCACGTGGAAAAAATTAATACATATTAAAAGAAAGGAGAATACAAACACAGCAAAATCTTATATTTCTACTACCCACATGTAACCGCCGTGAATGTGACGGGCTGCCTCCTCCTCCATCTTGTTTGCTATCCTTATTTCCCCTCAAGTCCAGCTTCTCTTTGTTCTTCTCAACTCCTCGCTTTCTCTACACAAAGCCCAAAGCTGCAGTCAGGAAGGGGATGAAGGGAGCTCTGGTTGGGGCCAGGGAAATAAATTTCAGTTCCTTTCATTTCTGGTCCAAAGGAGAAGCAGTCTGGGGAGGCATTTCCATCCTGTGGGGGTGAGGGCCTCTCTGAGAAGTCTGACCAGCTGCCAGCCTGACATCACTTCTCACCTGGCTCTGATGACATGTGTTTTCATATTACAGTGAATTCGATGCTTGTCTTAGCTTTCCCAATGGACTGTGAGCTCCTTGAGGTCAGGGACTGTGCTCATTCATCTTTGATTCCTCAAGACCGAATGGTGCCTGGCATACTGTGACTAGTTGCTCAATAAAGAGACTGTTGAATTGAAATGAATTCATTAGGGTTTTTTTTGAGTTATTTCCTTCAGATAACTCTCCAGGTGTCAGATTACTCGGTCAGAAGGCCGGGATATTTTTGAGATCTGACTCTACTGTATTGCATTGATTTGTGTACATGTCTATTTTGTCTACTAGGCTCTGCCCTCCTTCAGGGCAGGGGCAGCCTTTTACTCATCTCTTTAGTCTCCTCAGCACCTACATTATTGATCTCTTCCTAAGAAATTAATACACTTAGATGAATAAATGAACATCTAAACTCCCCTGCACCCCACTCTCTGCCATCTCGGTAAGTGGACCATAGTTCATTTCTGTTCAGGTCAGAAACCTATGGGGCGTCCTTGACTCTTCCTTCTCCCTCACTCGCTATTCCATCCTTCACCAGGTCCTGTTCCCTCTACCTTCCAAATAGCTCTTAAAGCCTTCCGTTTCTATCTCCATTGTCCCCACCCTAGTCTAAGCCACCATCTTTTCTCACTTGGTCTGCCACATACTAGCCTCTTAATTGGTATTCTCCTCTTTTGCTCTTTGCCTCCTCTTTGCTCTTCTCCTCACAGAATAGAGTGACTTTTAAAACATAAAATTCTGAACAAATCAAAAGGGTTTCCATTGCCCTTAGGTTAATCTCCAAATCCTTCCAAGCTGCCCTGCCTGACGTGGCTCCTGTTCCCTCTGAATCTCACTTTCTCTTGTCCACTTGCCCGTTCTCCGGCTTGGTTCTCGTTCCTTGACTGTTTCGTGCTTTTTCCTACCTCAGATTCATGGCACATTGTTCTTTCTACCTGGGAGTCTCTCTCTTCCTTTTTGGCCCCCTGCCCCTTTCTTCTAGCTAAGTTCTCAGTCTAAATGTCTATTCTTCAGAGAAGGCTTCCCGGACCCTTGTGACTCCCCTTGTCCCTCCAACTAGGTTGGGTCCTCCTGTTATATGCTCTTACAGAACTCTGTACTTCCATATCACTCTAGAAATCACTTGTTTAATGACCTTTCACCTACTAAGCTGTCAGCTCCAAGAAGGCAGGGACGGTGAGCATCTGGCACACTGCAGTCATCCCAGTGCTCTACAGAGTGCCTGCCACAAAGTAGGTGTTTAATACATGTTTTTAAATGAATGAATGAACTGATACCTTTACTTGTTCCCATGAATCCAGCTGGTCCTCCTTCCAGCACTAAGTGTATCTGCTTCTCAAAGCAATTTACACTTGATCCCTACCAGAATTCAATCCCCATAATAATCTGTGCATCCTTCTCCTTCTGCAAATGCAAACACGTCTTACAAGGACCCTGATTCAGCCCTCATGAGGCCACTATGGTGCCCTGCACTGCCCTAACTCCTAGTACATGGGCCTTCTGTGCATCCCCCAGAAACCACGTTCCTGGAAGCAAGTTAAGGGCAAAGAGTTTCCTTTTCCCCTTTAGCGCACTCCTCCAGGTCACAGAGCTGCCCCCCAAATGCAGGACTCCTCCTTGGATGTCACTGGAAAACCTCCTCATACCTTCATCTTATGCTAGGACATCCCATAAAACCTTGGAAAATTCACCTCTAAAAAGTGAAAGAGGTTTAGTAAGCTCTGGCATCATGTTATAACTTCTCCAGAAGCCATAGGAGGAAGAAATGGATCCTGGAAATCTTTCAGAAGATTTTACAAACGAGCATAGACAACTGTCCATCTGGGATGTCTGGAAGAAGAGAGCTGGACCCAAGAATGGTCACCATATGTGAGACCAGGATATGACAAGTAGGTTTTGTGCTGCTTTCAGGATTGAATGTGATTACATCCTAAAGACATGTTACTGGTTTATGGTGACGTTTGGTCAGAAATAGAGTTGAGTCTGACCTAGAGAATCTGAGCTGGATGGTTCCTTCCCATTACCATAGGACCTCTGAAAAGTCCACTGCACAAAATCCCAGACCTGATTAAAAGATTATCTCCTAAAGTCCCTTTGGTAGAAACTGGTTCTTCCCCCCAAAATAAGTAAATAAATCTACTTTAAGCTGTACCAAGAGACCTCGGGAAAAAGAGGACTCTACTGGATGGACCAGGCAGTGAGTCCACCTTACCATCTCATGGAGAAACACTGCTTCGGCTCTGGCCCGGGGGCTCTCCTGCAGAGCACTGGACTCCACCTGGCCAGCCTCTCGACTCTCCTCCACCGCCTTGTCTGGATCCAGCCTCTTCTCTAATTCACTTGAATGCTGAGAGCCCAGGGAGACTTCTGAGGTTTTCTTCTCCTCCAGTTGGGCACCTGGCTCCAGGGAAAGGCCTTTGCTGCATTCCACTGTCCTCATGGCTTCAGGTGCTGGCTTGGCATCCTCGAGAACCACCTTCTTAGGTCCAGAAGCTGCAATGAGGATGAGAGTTATCAGCTGAAGGAGATTCATTTCAAGAGAGGCCATTCCCAGCACACTCACTGTCCTGGACTAGTCCTGCTTCACAAGGATGGAGGGAATTCTCCCAGCTCACTGGCCCGTCACATTCTTTACCCTTTTCTCCTAGCAATGTCCTGTCCTCAGATCTCGGAGTCACAGACTGTCAGAGATGGGAGGGATCTCAAAGATCATCTAGTCCAGAGGTTCTCAACTGGGGATGATTTTGCTCCTCCCCTTCCCAAGGCACATTTGGCAATGTCTGGAGACATTTTTGGTTGTCACAACTGGGTAGGGGGAGTGGCTACTGGCATCTAGTGGGTAGAAGCCAGGGATGCTACTAAATATCCTACAAAACATAGGACAGCCCCCACAACAAAGAATTACCCAGCCCCAAATGTCAATAGTGCCAAGGTTGAGAAATCCTGCTCTAATCCAATCTTCCATTTCAGAGATTAGTCAATTCAGACCCTGAGAAGTCACCCTTCTTGCCTAAGGTCACAGGAATCTGTTATTTACACCAAGCCCTAAAGATGTATTATGATTATGATTGACAGCTTCCTGTGTGACTCTTCTCAGGGGTTATCTGTGCATCGATTTGGACATATCTAAAGTGATTAAGCTCTGGCTTAAACATCTACCAAGGCAGGGGAGAGGGTACAGACCTCAATTTTGGCCTGTACTGCATTGCATGATGAAGGTCCCATTTCATTGTATAAGGCTGTTTTCACAGTGTAGAGTAAAGACTAAGTACGTAGGACAGTGCTGGGTACATAGCAGATCCTCAATAATGTTATTATTATTTACATTGGAATTAAAGAAATCTGAGTTCACATTCTAGTTTCTCAACGAATCTTGTAATCTTGGTACAACGGCTTAATAATACATAATAATACATTGCAGGGCTGTGTGAGGATAAAGTAGATGATGGAGGCAAAGCACCTATTAGTGTCTAACATACAGCACACGCTCAAGGTTTATTGGTTAAGAACAAACTAAGCTCATTGCTACTGGTTACACTGGTGACTTAACTCAAGGTGTCTCACCACAGTGCCAGCTTGAAACTCAGTCAGACCTGGAGACAGCTTCCTGACGTCTGAACTAACAATGCTTCAGAATTGACAATAGTGCCCTTTTCCTCTGCCCACCACTTAGTGGGCTTATTTTTTGAAATTTAATTTAATTATTGAATATGTAAAACATCTACAGAGTTCAAAAGTTAAAACTATATAAAAAGGTATTCTCAGAAAAGTTTTGCTTTGGGGGCTGGCCCGGTGGTGTGGCAGTTGGGTTTGTGCATTCTGCTTCGGTGGCCCGGGGTTCGCTAGTTCGGATCCTAGGTGTGGACCTACTCAGTGCTCATCAAGCCATGCTGAGGCAGCGTCTCCTATAGAAGAGCTACAACTCTACAACTGTGATATACAACTATGTACTGGGGCTCTGGGGAGAAAAAAGAAAAAGAGGAAGATTGGCAACAGATGTTAGCACAGGGCCAATCTTCGTCAAAAAAAGAAAAGAAAAGAAATGAAAAGTTTTGCTTTCATCCCTTTGCTTCCACTCTGTTCTACACCTCCACTGTTCCTTGGGGATAACCATTTTTATTATTTCTGGTTTATTCCGCCATAGTTCATTTTTGCATATATAAGCAGATACTTGTACTGTATATATTTTATTTCCCACCTTTATTACACAAAATGAAGCATATAATGTATCCTGTTCTACACTTCATATTTTTTTCCTTATAAACATATCTTGAAATCTATGCCATATTGTATATGAGATTCATTGTTCTTTAGGATGTGGCCTCGTTTGAGTTCCTCTCAAAGTGAAGCCTGAGCCAAGGTCCTGGCAGCAGGTAGCTTACTTGGAAGGTGGTCCCAGGAAGCAGGAGGGAGGAGGTGAGACAGTGATGGAGGAAAAGTCAATAAAGAGGATGTTATTGAGCTGGTTAGCTCCTCAACAGTGAGCAACCAGGACTCAATCCCTGGTGACCCTCCGGGGAACCAAGAGGAATGTGCCCCACAGTTATTCCTCCAAAGGGTGGCAGGCTGGGTCATTAATCCACCGATTCCTGTCTCCTATTGCTTAAGGACTGCCCCAGTTAATTCTCCCTACTTCTGGACCATCTAGAGCAAGGGCTGGGCGAGATCCTATCTTTAGAAAAGTCCTGAGGCAGAGAACCAGAAACACAAGGCAGATACCTGAGATAGGATGCCTTCGGTGTGCACAGAAACTGTCCCCCACAGATGCACAGGAGCTTGACGAAACGTGGGGCAGAGCCCCCAAAGCTACGGACTCCACAGGACTCAGCTGTGCAGATGCACCCTCCTTACTAAACTCGTCTCCTTAAGATGGATATTTGCGTTGTTTCCAATCTTTTGCTATTACAAATAATGCCATGATATGCATACACATTTTGTACTTGTGAAGCTATTTATTTAGGATAAATATTCGGAAGTGAAACTTCTGGGTAAAAGGCTAATGCATCAGCAATTTTTAAAAAATATCTTTTTAGGATTCTACTAAGATTTCTTAGTTGAACATGTTGGCCAGTGTCTCTTTTTGTAGAGCTCAGGGTCTTCTGTCCATTGACCATGACCATGAATATGGACTCTTAAAGTGAGGCATGGACGAAGGGCCTGTCCTGTGAGCTTGTTCAGATCACTCATTCTCCTGCTCAAAGCCCTGCTCACTCTGGCCCAGCCACATCTTCTCCTACTACTCCTGCCAGGCCTTATACTTCTTTGTTCTGGTCCTCCCTGTGATTTGAACCTACTCCATTGTTTTTTTTTTGGTGATGAAGATTGGCCCTGAGCTAACATCTGCTGCCAGTCTTCCTCTGTTTTGTATGTGGGTCACCGCCACAGCATGGCTTGATGAGTGGTGTGGGTCTGTGCCTAGGATCTGAACCCACAAACCTGGGCCGCTGAAGCTGAGTGCGTGAACCGAACCACTACGCCACGGGGCCGGCCCCCCCAATCCATTCTTCAAAACATAAACCTCATAACCCCTCTTTGGAGCCTTCCCAGACCACTGTCTCCTTCCTCCACTTCCTGCAGCCCTCACTGTTGTTAGCCATGTGGTGCCAAGTCATCAGGCTACCATTTTCTTTTTACGTCTACATAGCTTCCACCCTAGGTTAAGTGCCTCAGGACAGAGGCGGTATCTGTTTCTAGAAATTATCTGCTAGGAGCCTATAAGTCCAATAAACTTTTGCTGATTGACGATTTGCAGGATACTTCTAAGCTATAAAAGAATCTCTATAGCTCACAAGGGAAGGGCATTGTCGGGTTCCCAGCACAGGCCACACTATGCACAAAGTGGGTGACCATGGGGGCAGAGACTGCTAATTGTCACCTAATATCCATTCTCTTCTTCTTTAGTTAGAAACAGAACCTTCCCTACCTGCAAGGTATTAGCTGGGCACGTGGCTTTCTAGCTAGTGACAACTTTCCTCAGCCTCCCCTGCAGATAGATGTGGCCATGTCAGTTTCGGCAGGTGGAATGGAAGTGGTAGTGATGGGTGCAACTTCTGGGTCCATTCCTAAGCGAAAGCTGCTTGGCTGCCTCTCCTGAGTCCCTTCCCACAGGTGGGAATGTAGGTGAGGGGTGTTGAGCCCACCTTGACCATGCAGGCAGGGACAGCACCCCTGGGATGCCTGAAGACACCTGGGACCCCACAGGATCTCCTGGAGCACAGCCACCTACCTCTGGCGTATAACATAGAACTCAACTTCTATCTTGTTTGAGCCACTGTGGTTTTGGTTCTCTATGTTAGAACAACTTGGCCTCTACCTTAACTGGTAGAACCGTGGGTTTATGAGATAGGCTGCTTCTGGTTAAAAAAAATAATTGGGCAAAACAAATTTTTATAGGTAACTCATATTTCAGATGCACTATAATATAACTATTTAAAAGAATTCTTTTGTAAATTCTTCAGTAGAAGAATGAAGCAACTCCTAACATCTCTAAGGGTAGCTCTGCATTTTCATTTATCAGGTTTCCTTAAAGCTATATGCTTACTCTGAACTCCCTTTAATAATTTCTGCAAGGGGAAGCAGAAAGTGTTAGTTGTAGCTGTTAAGTCAGCCCATAAGCTCTTCTTTTACGTTCAGAAAGATCCAGTTTGTGGTCCTTCTCCCCCTAACCCCAAGGATTGAGGGTAGCAAGACATAGCCTTGAATTAGGAAAAAAAAAAAAATTATGATGATTAATAATTTATAATCATTAATAATAATGATTGAATACTCCTTTTTTTTTTCATTTGGAGCTATTAATTTTTTCATTGTGACCACTTCAGTTAAAGTGCAATACTTACTTGATATCTCTTACTTTTTGAGTTGCATTGGAATTTCACCTAGATTGGCCAAAAGTGGAAGAATTGGTTTGACTAGAGTGTCGAAAAATTTTAATTAGGTAACCTAAAAAATGATCTTTAATTTTTTTTCTTACCCACTGCTACTGCACAAAAGAAAGAAAAAATATTTTATTAAGGAAGGTGAAGTTCTCCATTTGGAATAATTATGGAAGGCGATGAGACACTTAAGTTAACCTAACCCCATCAGAGAGAAGGGTGGGGGGCCTACTGGCCCTGAACCTTTGGGCATCTCCCTCTGGCCCTTGGTCCTAGATCTGCATAACTGCCTCCCACAAGGTCCCTCGTTCTGCCCTGACTGCCACTGGGCACAGGCAGGGAGGCAGCTGGAGGCTCCACTAGTGTCTTTCCCAGATCAATTGAATATAAACTCTGTTCTTTACAGAGAGAAGGAAGGAGACAGGGAAAAAAAGATAACAGGCTGTCTGCAAAAGACCCCTTGGGCCCAGGGACCCTCTCCTTGGAGAAGATAATCATTCACACAAAAAGCTTTGGAAACACTTTCATCCTCAAAGGCTTCACTTCCTCTGCTAGCCCTCACCCTGCTCCACACACACACCAGCCCATGGAGCATTCTCCAGACAGGGTATCACTTGACGCCCTCGAGCTTCTGCTCATCTTGTGCCTCCATCTTCAAGAGAAGGGGGAGGAGAAAAGGACTAATATTTATCAAGCATCTTCTGTGAGCCACACCATGAGTAGGCATTTTATGGACATTCTCCCATTCAGACCTCACCCCGGCCCTTGAGACAGGAGCCACCCCTGCTTTGCAGATGAGAAACAGGCTCAGAGATGTCAACCAACTGCCCACTGGCACATTGCCAAAAAGTGGCAAAGCTGGAATCTGAATCAGCCCAGTCGAGGTCCAAAACCTATGAACTTCCCACAATATTCAGCTGCTTCTCGGCCTTGGATGTCCTTTCCCATCTTTTCTGTATGGAGAAATCCTACTCATTTATGAAGGCCAGCCCAAATGTCACCTCTTCTGAGAAGCCTTCCTGGAGTCCTCCTGAGGGGACTGGCTCGTCTTGGCGCTCTTGCAGTCCTTTCTGAAACATTTTTTCATGATACCTCAAGTACCTAGGCCCTCCCTCCTTCAAAAAGCCCAAGGACACTCTCCTGCTACTTCCACAGGCCGACCCTGGGCTGCACTTTGGTGCAGAGTTTCAGTTTCCTTTCCTAGTTTGTGAGCTTGCTGGGTGAAGGGATCATGTCTTAACAACCTTTGTAACTCACAGCTCAGAGCACACATGTGAGGGAGCCTGGTGGAGTGCTTAAAAGCATGAATTTTTTAGTCTGGATTAAAGTCCTGGTTTTCCTACTTCCTTGCTATGAGTCATTGGGCAAGTTACCCGATGCCTCTCTAAGCAAATGGGGATAAGAGTAATTACCTGTACCTCTTGGGGTGGTTGTGAGGAGAAATGAGATAATGCATGTAGAACACTTGGGACAGTGCCTGACACCACAGTCGGTGCTCCAAAAAAGTCAGCTCATATTAACTGAAATAGAAATATTCTTAAACCACAATGAGCAGGCCGGCCCTGTGGCTTAGCGGTTAAGTGCGCTCGCTTAGCTGCTGGCGGCCCGGGTTCGGATCCCTGGCGCGCACCGAGGAACCGCTTCTCTGGCCATGCTGAGGCCGTGAGCCATATACAACAACTAGAAGGATGTGCAGCTATGACATACAACTATCTATTGGGGCTTTGGGGGGGAAATAAATAAATAAGTAAAATTAAAAAAAAAAAGAAATTAAAAAAAAAAAAACCACAATGAGCATTTGTTGGTTTGTCTCTCAGCCATCCTTCCCTCTGAGGTTCTCACTATCTCCATTTTATGTGGCTCATGTTTGGCTGTTGACCAAAGAACCCCTGCCCACTCCAGAGATGGCCCAGGGACTCAAACTTAGCCAATCTTAGAACCAACTCTATTAGCCCAGCAACAGTGATTGGTCCAAGGCTGGGCATATGACCCAAGCAGGCCCAATCAGAGTCTTCCCTGTGTTTGATATAAGGAAACTGGGAGAAAGATGCTCCTTCTCATTGCTAAGGTTGCTAGCCATGTTCTCTGCAGATATGAGGCAGAAATGTGGGTTGGATGGATGGACAGAGATTGAGTCTAGAAGAGTTGAATCCCCGATTCCAGCTCTGCATTCCACTCTGTGAGCTTTTCCTCCTGTCTTCTTACTATGTGAGTGAATAAAATAATACTAACAGGTACGATAACATTTACTGAGTACTTACTATGTATTAGACACTGTCCTGAGAGCTTTATATGTATTAAATAATTTAATATTCATAACAAACTTATGAAGAAGGTACGATTATCAACATGGTTCCCGTTTCACAGATCCAGAAGCTGAGGCACAGAGTGGTTATGTTAACTCGCTGAAGATTGTACAGTGAAATGGCTGAGCCTGGGCTTGTACCCAGGCTGTCTGCCTCCAAAGCGCACAATCTTAACTACTTCACTACATTGTCTTGCAAACTCTGTGAGAGCACATTTAAATCTGATTTTTATCTCTTGCAAAGGAAAGAGACCCTCTCTCCTGCTTTACCTGTAGAAGTCTCAGCTCCCACTGGCTTCTCCTCATCAGGCCAACCTCCACTCTCTGATCCCTGGAAAGAAAACTCTTCCAGGCTGGAAAGAGACTGCAGCTCCTTGGGGGGTGTTCTGCACGGGGTGCTGTTGGTGCTGATGACGGCGGACACGCGGAGTGGCACGGACACGGCGAAGGGCTCAGAGATGTTCAGGGCCTTGCGCTGGTGCCGGGGCGACGGCTCCATCTGGAAGAGGCTGCTGGTGAAGACGGATTTGCCAGGGCTGTCGTTCGAGGTGTAGAACATGCCCAGCATCTTGGGGGCTGTCTGCTCACTCTCAGGATCCTCGATAGGCCGGAACACCTTCAGCTGCTCAGGTGGGGGCCGGGCCTGAGTGCCCTGGAGTTGGCTTCGGTCACTGCTCATGTCAAAGCCCCCCTCCGCCCCTGCGGGCATCCCCTCCTGGCCCCATTCGCCCTCCTGCTTGCTGAGGTCACAGGAGCTGCCGGTGCTGGTCGAGTGAATTTTCGCTGCTGGAATGAAAAATCCACCAGTGGTGACTGTTCGATTGAAATTTCCTTTGGTTTCTTTTCCTAATGAAAAAACAAACACTTGGTCAGCAGGCTGGGCACACACACAACTGCACAGCCTTCCATAAAGGCAGGTACGCAATAAAGGGCACAGCCTTCCTAATAAAGACAGGTGCACAACATGTGGTTGACAAGAGGAAGCATCTTCTCACGCTCACAGAATTTGGAGCATCTCATGATGCTCAAATAGAACCGTCCGCTGTTGTATCATATGTATCCGTCTCAAACTTGGCAGGTAGAACAGTTTCCAACATAAGGCCACCACTAAGATTGCCAAACAGAGCAGCCATCCACCAAGCATTAAATGTAGATCATGAAAAAATAAAAAGATTGATGGGAGATGCTAGAATGATGTTTGCTCAAAATGAAGGAGAAGACAAAAGTGGCAAATCAACAGAATCTTGTTTCATTTTAAAACTTTAAAATTATTGTTTTAAGTCTTCTCTGGCAGATGGACCCAAACAAGGGTTTGATTTCCCAGCAAGGAAACGAAGGCTGTTCCCAGCTAGACCTTTCTGCCTTTTCCCAGGCTTCCTCCATCAGAGGATGAGAAACTAGAAAAGTAAATTAACTCAATGTTAGAAAGCACAGCTGTGAGGAGCAAGCTCCTGACTGACGTAGAAGTGAAAGCAAAGGAGAGAAAATTCTGTATGGGAAATAAATAAGCTGGGAGATGACAAGTGAGTTGCCAGGGATCTGGAAATAATTCCCAACTAGATAGTAAGTGCTATGCTGGACATCTTATGCAACATTGGGCTTAAAATTCTTACAACCACTCGGTGGGGAAGTGTAATAATCTTTAACACATGAAGAAACTGAGACCCAGAGAGGATAGATAACCTGCCCAAGGCCCGCAGATGTGGTGACTGAGATTTTGAAATATTAAATTCTATAAAATTGGGCAAGGGCCAACCTCGGTGGCCTACTGGTTAAGTTTGGCATGCTCCACTTTGGTGGGCCGGGTTCGGTTCCTGTGCATGGACCTACACCACTTCTCTATCAGCAGCCGTGCTGTGACGGCCGCTCACATACAAAATGGAGGAAGATTGGCAACAGATGTTAGCTCAGGGCAAATCTTCCTCAGCAAAAAAGAAAAAAAAAATTGGGCAAGAACTGCCCCAAGAGGTTTCAAAACCAAAGCAAATGGAGGAATGTAAAGGTGGGAAAATGCTAAACGTATTGAGTCAGCTTAAAAAGACCTCACTGAGTATTTTACAAGTTTAGAAGTATTTTTTGGAAGTTGTTCCAGAGATTTTCTGTATTGTTTCAGGTTGCCTCGTTTATCAAAGAGAAAAATGTCTTGTATTGAAGAGGTTGGAAAGTCATGGGATAAATGTGGGAGAGTTTGAACAGTCAGCTGCTAGGTGAGCCCTGTACCTTGTGACTTGTCACCGTGCTTATTGGCCACTTCACAAAAACAGAAGCAAGAGGCACAGGCAGGTCAGCCCTTCAGGCCGGAGCTGTGAGAACCAACGTGGGGAGGTGACGCTTTGGTGACAGTGTCACCTGGTATGCAACTCTACACGCACATCTACTACAACAAGGGATGTCACCGTGCACGCATGCCTGGCATGAAGTTGACGCCCATCAATATTTATTGATGAATGAATGAATGAATGAATGAATCTACCAACTCAAAATCATGACTTGACAAGCATGATGAAGCTAAAGCCTATGGAAACATGCAAATTCAAGACACATAAGCATCGAGGCACAAAGCTCTGAGATATAGACCAGTGGTTGGCTCTTCTTTATGCCCAAGGGGGAAGCCTCCTCTGCCTTGGTTTTCAGGGGTTGATCTTTTTTTATAAAATTCAAATTTATTTAAACTAAAAAAATAAACTAAACTAAAAAACTAAACAAAAACTGTTCTCCCATCAAAAGGTGTTGACCTTTGACCTAGTTCAGGTTTGAATGTAAAATAGCTGTCTGTCATCTCCAGCTGTGGTCAGAGGAAGGCTGGGGAGGGAGGACACCTCTTGAGGCCTCACTGTGTGGTAGGTAGAGTAGGGGAGGTTCATGCAAGAGCTATGTGAACGCTTTGGGTTCAGAAAGGGTCAGGAAGGGATTTGGGGCTGAGGATCTTGTATGATCGTGACTGGAGACGAGCAGGCCCGGCAGCTTACGAACGCGAGTCTGGTGTGGGAGCTCCGGTCTCCCGGTTGTAAAGCCCAGTTCCGAGTCTGAGTGTAAAACCTCACCTTCCACGGGCACCGAGCACAGGGAGTCCATGCTTTTAGCTGGTCGGATAGTAGCCTTTTCCACTAAAGACAAAAGAAAAAATATCCCTGATGAATGCATGTGAAGAGGAAGCAGTCAGAACAATAGGTCAGGCTGTGAGTACACGAGAACTTTCTTCAGGAAAGTTTTTCAAGTATTTATCGTTTTCCCCTTTGGAAAACATTCCCCTACTCCACCCTAGATGTTCCTACATCTTAATGGGACTGACCTTATAAAAACAGGGCATTTGTAGATCAAAGTTTCAATAACATTTTACAGATAAAAGTAAATTACAATTTTGTCAAATAGCTATTAGCAAATGAGGAGTCCTGAATCCAATTTTATTGTACAAAAAGGATTCAAAGATTAATCCATGGGGTAGAATCCAGGCAACCCTTCCTATTTGTCAGGCAGGAGAGTAGGCTTCTCGGCGGCAGCCACATCTCTCAGTACCCAGGAATTTGGTACAACCAGTGAGAGGGCCCAGGAGAGCTGAAGACACCTTTCTCCCCATGTGCAGCTCTGTTCCTAGGTCTGCAGACTGCTTGCTCCCCCACTGGTCTCACCCACCAACCTCACCCTTTTTTGAGCATCCGCTAGGTGCCTGGTGTACTCTATGCATCTTTGTAAGCCACCTAAGCAGGTTTTTGGAAGAGTGTGGTTTCAATAAGTAAAAAATTATTCCAGGCACAGGATGAGGCACTTTCATAAACATCATTTCTTTTCAGTTTGCTGTATTGGCTGGAAGGTAGTTCCTTCCAGGTCAAGCTTGCTGGGAGGGGAAAGAGGGTAGTTTGGAAGCCAAGCAGGAGGCCCAGAGCTGGTAGCCTTTCTACTAACTCTGGATTCGGACAGATCTGGCTTTGAATCCCAACTCTGCCACCTTTGGGCTGTATAACTTCAAATAAGCGCTTGTCTTTTCTAAACTTCAGTTTTCTCACATGTAAAATGAGGAAAAATAGAGCTGTTGTGAGGGTTAAATGAGTAATGCACATAAAACAGTTAGGTTGTACCAACCGAGAATAGAATAAATGCTCAATAAAAAGTTACTATTGTTACTGTTGTTGTCAATGTTATTCAGTATAGACCAGGGCTCAGTAACAAAGGGGAACCCAGGAGATGGTTCTAGAAGCACTCAGAGTTGGCCCTAACCCAAATAGGGCCCTAACTCATGCTTGTTTTTCCCTCTTTTAAAGTTTTCCCTTTGTTCCTTTTTGTTCCAAATCCTGCTCCTTCTGAGAGGTTCTGAATTAGCCCCTGGGCCTCCCCAGCTTGGGGCTTCTCTCCCACTGGGGCCCATAGTGCTGTGGGAGGACACAGCCATCTTCACTCAAACCCTCCAATGGCAGAGATTGAACCCTCCTTCCTTCCAATAGTAAGCCAGAATTCTTATCCTTTGAAGATCTGCTATTTCCACAAGTTTACAAACTGACTTATTATCCTAAAACTGCCTGGCTGGCGCCCCTTCCTTTGTGTGTTCTGAGACAAGCTTTTGCCTTTATTTTCCTGAGGCTGCATTTCTGGGCTTCCTCTGGTTTTCACGTGTCGGCCTTTAGAGGCAGTGACCAGGTGACGCTGAGTGTCATGGAGGATGGGCAACAGTTCTGTCTGCAGCGCCATCAGTGTTCACCTGCCACGTTGGACTCTCTTTCTGAAGATGCACCTCCATGTTGCCTTGGTGGCCACAGCAGCACATCAGAGCTGTGGCTTTTGGGAACAGTCCCCAAAGATTTGCTGGCCCCTTTTCTGGATGGTAACTAAGCGCACAGGGCTCCTTGGCCCATGACCATATTTAGATCATATTTTTCTGTCTGGGATCTTGGCCCGGGCTCACGGAAGTGCTTCCACCAGTTTTCTGGCAGCCTTGAGGTCTTGAGGCCCTGCTCTTAGATTATCCCTATGGCTTGGGGATTTCCAGCTCAAAGGAGTTCACTCTGGAGGGTTCCCTGGCATCTGCCTGTTTGATGATATACAAATTCCAGGACACCGGTGTCTGGGAGACTCCAGAGAGGATGCATCTTCATTCAGCGAATACTCCAGTTTTTCTTATCCTTTATTTCCCATTTCTGTTCCATTTTCTAAATATGGTTCAACACTTCTTCACCCGCGTCCCCCCGAAAAAAAACCCCAATACTACTCATGGTGTGTCAATTTTTTTTTTTCATGAGGAAGATTAGCCCTGAGCTAACATCTGATGCCAATCCTCCTCTTTTTGCTGAAGAAGACTGGCCCTGGGCTAACATCCGTGTGCATCTTCCTCTACTTTATATAGGACTCCACCACAGCACGGCTTGACAAGCGGTGAGTTGGTGTGTGCCAGGGATCCGAACCTGTGAACCCGGGCCGCTGAAGTGGAATGCACGCACTCAACCGCTACGCCCCTGGGCCGGCCCTGGTATGACAAGTTTTTAAATGCTCTTAGTTACGGAGTTTTTTAAAAGATTTTAAAAATTATTTAAATATCTTAATCCACTGATTCACTTTTTTCACATATATATTTCAACAAATATTGAGCCCATGTGCCACTTAGAGACCACACTGGTGGATTATGACCATAAAAGACCCCCCAAGTCTTTAGTTTCTAGGGTTCTAGCAACAACACTCTTCTGGGGAAAAGTGACCCGATCAGGCAATAGTCAAGGTCACAGAGAGCCACTTGTATTGGGTCTTTAATTTCACTGATTACTGATGGGTCACACTGATGGGTCTTTAATTTCACCCCTGCATCCCATCAAAATTCAGCTAGTTTGGTGATCTATCTCTGATTAGCTGCTTCATGAGATGTTAGACTGCTGGCCTTCAACCCTGGCTCCATATCAGAGTCACCTGGGGAGCTTTTTAAACGTTACCGACACCCTGACTTCACCACAGACCTCCTGAGGCAGAGCTGCTGTGGGGGTGAACCACCCCGTGGGTGATTCTGAGGTGCAGCCATGCTGAGAGGCCCTGGCCAGGACATCCTGCGCCTTCTGTGCATTTACCACCCTTTGATCCAGCACCCTGGACTTCCTCCTTTTGAAAAGCAGATGTGGGTGGAAATCTTCCTAAGTCAAGATCAAGGCAAATCATTTATTTCAGTTTTGCTTGTTTGTTTTATTCTATTGTTTTTGATTTTTCATTACTTGGTGAACCTCTTTCATTGTATCCCTGATTCTGTAACTGAAATTCTCTCTTTGATGTGCTTAAGCAAATCTCTTATTATTAGATCAGGAGTTTCTTGCCAGGTACTCCTCCCCTGAAATTCTCCTTTGGGAATCCTAATTTCTGATTTATATCTGATCCACCAGATGTGTGGCAACTTGCCCTCTTCAGCTGGGCTGCCTTTCCATTTTGTGAAAGACATGGTTCCCCATATAATGAATACTGTCAATGCCTAGCCAGAATCCATTTCCCTTCCTCCTTCTCACAGAGCCCTTGCATTTCTTGGGTACATCTGGCTGCAATCCCATTCCTCATGCCAGTGATTGGTTCAGGAACCCAGGTCCAAGCCAATCAGCATAAGGCACTCCCTTGGCCATAGGGATTGATCCTCATGACTCAGTGAAGGCAACCAAGACAGCAGGGGAGCTTATGGGGGCTTCTGGGAAAGAAGGGGCCCTGCTCTTAGGATCAAGCTACCAGAAATGATGTTCCTTCTCCTTCTGGACATAGTTGAGTTGGATTTGCTATTATTTACAGCCTGAATCATTGTACTGCCTATACCCTGTGACGTCCCTCATTACTCCAATAGGCAAACGTGAAGATTTCTAACATCTGTGCTTTATGATCCTTAGCATACAATTATCACTGGGCTCAAGGAAAGTCCTTAAAAATATTATCTCTCATTCTTCCCATAGGCATTAATTATCCCCCCAAGTCTTTATTTTTAAAAATTTCAAGCAGTCAGAAAAGGTGAAGACCTCTAAACATATTACCTAAGTTGACATTTTGCCGTATATTCGCTTTACCTATATCTACCCATCTATATTTTGCTGAATCATTTGCAAGTATGATTCAATATTTTGACACTTCATCCTTTAATATTTCAACTTTAGCAGATGTCTCCTAAGAACCATTCTCACATGATGAAAATTTACAATTCTAATATCCAATATATTTGTCCCCCAAATTATCTTTCGTAGCCTCCTTTTTTTTCCAAACTGGGATCTACAAACCAAGGTTTGCTCATTGCATTTGTACATTTACCTTTTACAACTTGTTTTGACCACTATTGCCCCCATTTTTAAAAATCACATTTTCAATCTATAATACTAAAGGTCATTGAGGGAAATTTCTTTGGTCTTCCCATTGTGACACAATATTCAGCTGGATTGGTTATATTCCCCACTGTATAGTGGTTCCCTCAGTTCTTTCCTGCATCAATACATATTCACCACTCAGATATAATTCCCACAGGGCAGCATCCCCATGTAAAATTCATGACCCGACCCTGGGGGAGAAGGGACAGATCTTCCTTACAGTAGAGTTCAATTAATAAACATAGAAGGAATGATGGAAATAGAAAATGACCATTTGGAAAACACCACAGTCATAACTGTTGCAGGCAAGAACCACTGATGGATGCTAACATTCATGGATGAAAGTATGATAAGAACTACAGGATATTTGCATAATCTCAAAATATCTCCTGTAAGATACTTATCAATTGCAAAGGAAAAATAGTAACTTTACAGGGGCAAAACCTTGTATACAGCTTAACCGAGTGATCAAAGTTAATATCACCAGCCATAAGATCTTGGCATCATGTACCTCCTGATATGACACACAGAGACAGACACAACATTCAAAACCTCAGTCTAATCATGAGAAAACATCAGACAAACCCAAACTGAGGTATATTCTACAAAATGAAGGGCCAATGCTCCTCCAGTGTCAAGGTCAGAAAGACCGAGGAGCTGTCTTAGATTGAGGAGATTAAGGAGGCATGACAACTAAATGCAATATGGGTTCCTGGACTGGATCTTTGACCTGAAAAAGGACATTCCCAGGACAATTGGCCAAATATGAATAAAGTCAGTATATTATTTAATAGTATTACATTGATACTAATTTTCTGGCTTTGATCATTGTATTATGGTTATGTAATACGTTAACATTTGGGGAAATTGTATGAAGGGGATATGGGTTCTCCATGTACTATTTTTGCAAATCTAAAATTATCTAAAAAAAAAAAAAGACTCCCTAGTTAATTTATAAGTTTCTCTTTCAGGGCTGGGGAGTTTGACGTGATCAAGCCAAACACTTAAGAAGCAGAACTAGGAAAAAAATATATATATCTCATAAACATAACTGCTGTTGATTCTTACCTGAGAGCCTCTGTCCTCTCACGAAAACACTCCCGTTTCTACTCAGCTTTGATTTGGAGTCTGATCCAGAACGTCCCAGGTTAAATATTGATTTCCACTTCTTTGATTTACTGGAGAGCTTTCTTCTAAAAGAGTCAAGCCATAAGGGGTTAGTTTGGTAACTAGTCATTTCAGTGGGGCATTTAAATTGAGAAGGAATACCCCAGTCGTGTTCTTAGTTATGGATGGCTCTGACATGTCAGGAAATTCCTCTCTAAAATCCAAGTTGAGCCTGACTCTCACCCTGTCTGGGGATGCCCGAGATGACCAAGCTAGGCTTTCCTGAGTCAGAGCCAAGGACCACATTTCCCAGAGAAGAGGCAAAGGTCATGCTATTAGTGGCAGGGGTGGGGCAAGCAGAGGCAGGGATGGAGGGGGACTCAGAGGACAAGAGCAACCACACAGCTCTGGGAATTCTGGCAAGTACTTTAGTCTGGGTTTTCAAAGATACCTCTTTTTAACAGGAGTAAACACTACAGACCACAGACCTCAGTCCTGCTATGCTCCCTGCACTGTGGCCACACAGGTGGGACATCCACAGGTGAGGAAAGGGCTGGTGAAGACTTTCATGGACTGAAAAGGGGGTGCATGAGAAAGCAACTTGGAAAAGGGTCTGGCCTGGGAGAGCTGCAGGCTGCTGGGTGTGGTCAGTGGTCACTGCAGAGAAATGCAGAGGGCAGTGAGCGTGTCTCTGGCTCTGTCTCTCATTTCCCTGATGCCTCAGTAGGGGGCAGGGGAAGGAGAGTGCTAGACTGGGTCCGAGAGCCCAGCGCCACCAGGGGTCGCCACAGAGGCCTTGCCCTGCTCTGGCTCAGCCAGGCCATGGGACTTCAGAGAGTGCCAGGATGAAACCCTGCAACACAAGGGTTCCACAAAGGACCTTTTCTCCTCAGTATTCTCACAGAACGTGCCAGATCTCAAGCCCAGCGTGTTTATGATCAATCAGCGATCTGTAGTGCGTGGTGGTTTCTCTGGATCTGGCCTAGTTTTTTCAAGTACTTGGCCTTGGGGTGTATTTTACAGGGTTGCATACCTTGGGGTATAGTGCACCCCAGGTATGGTTGAAGGCACAGAGAAAGTGCACTTGATGGTCCTTCCGAGGTACTTTCTTCCTGATCCTAGGGTGAAAGTCTTATTCTCCGGGGTTTAAGGGGAAGGAGCACTGGGGCTCAGTCTCGAGCACTCCAGGAAATGGAGGGTTTCTTGCCCTCTGAGTTCCCATAACATGCAGTGTGACAGGCGCCCCCTAGAGTTGTGCGATGTGGCAGCGCTCTTTCTCCCCCTCTAAGGGAAACAGCCCTGCCATCCTGGGGAGGGCACTGACAAGAGGTCTGATGTGTCTGTTTTCACTCCTCTTTTCACTGACCAAACAGCAGGGATGACACTCTGCAATGAAAAGATGGCCTTTCGGCCCCTCCACCTACTGTCTGCCTAGAATTTAGGACTCCTGCTTCAATTACTGCCTCCTTTTACAGTGAGGGCGAGGCGGGGAGGAGGGATGAGTGGAGACCAGGGTTACAACAGAGGAAGCGAGAGGGAGAAATAAGGAAAGAAAGTATGCTATGAATGAGAACGATGTTTGGTTTGTGTTTGGAAGAGAGGGAGGGCTCTAATAGGCATGAGAGGGGGAACGGAAGCCAGGGATGCATGTCTCCAAGTGCTGCACACCCACAGCTCAGGCTAGAGTGGCACTATTTGTCAACTTGTCCTCCATTCATCTCTATATAGAGCTTTTGTAATGTTTCTTGGAGGTGGAGGACGAGGGGAGAGGGTCAAGTTTTTGTTTTTAGCAAACTTCCTTTTGAAAACATCCAGCCTGTTTTGTCTAAACTAAGGAGTGAAGGATTTCAGTCATGACTCTTGACCCCTATGAGCCCACCCCCGTCATGGTACTAGGGATCTCTGGTCAAGGACCCCAATTGGGGATCTTGATAAATTTGGGGCAGTGTGTGAAGGCATCAACCACTGGTGAGAGAGAGTGGTGGAGACAGCTCCCTTCTCTTCTCGAATGTTTCCTTACACCCCAACCCAGATGACACCCACAACCCATGCTGCCATCATGGCCCTGAAACTATATACCTTCCTCCTCTGTCCCCCTCCACACAAATATCTCTCAGAATTCAAAAGAATGCCACTTACTTGTTGTCCGGTAACTCAAGGACGGTGTGGAAGAGGGTGCCCATGGGAGGGACAATCTCAGGCAGACTATTCTCTCTCCTTTCCTTCCGAGCAGGATGGTTAGTAGCCAGGCTCCGAGCCTGAGCTTCTTCCAGGCTCACCAACTTCATGGGCAGAGAGAGGGCTGGCAAGGTCAGGCTTTTCATGATGGGCCGGTTTTCTATAAAGAAGAGAGAAGAGCTCATAGACCTCCTGGGAGAAGGCCTGCGCATGGGCTCCAGCCAGATTCCCCATCCACAGCCTCCCCCATTCTTGATCTCTTGATAGGAGGCTTCTCTTGGGTGTGATGGGGTCTGAGGCAGAGGCCGCACATAGGAAACCAACAAACCTCCTTGCCAGACTAGCCAGAGAGCACACCATGGCTTCAGGAGGTAACCTGTACTTCCTGGACTTTGCAGAGAGGGACCATTCATTCATTCATTCACTCATATGACAAACACTTATTGAGCACACACTGTGGGCCAGAGTAGCAGCAGTGGGTCTTTGCCCCTGGGAACTGCCTAGTGGTTTGCCCAGGTGGGAATGTATGTCCAGCCATAGAGGTACCCTCACTTAGCCAGGGTAAGGCAGGAGACTGCCCCTCCTCTCCACAGCTGGGGAACACAGGATCAAGGCAATTTAAGGTTAGAGCCTGTACTTTCCCTTGACCACCTAGCCTTATATCTCTGCAATAAAAAGACATTTTACAGCCTATACTAATCCCTAAAAGATAAGTGGCTTTTTAATCACTACCCAGTTGTCTTCAAGTGTATGCAAGCTAATCCTTTCCTTATATGGCTTTTTTTAAGAAATAGAAGTGATGATGACAGATCAATGGTGTCCAGGGTTATTTCTTTTCTCTGAGTCAGTGGTTCTCAACTCGGGGTGATTTTTGTACCCCTTCCCTCCAGCCAGGGACATTTGGCAATGTCTGGAGACAGTTTTGGTTGTCACAAGTGTGTGTGGGAGTGCTACTGGCATCTAGCGGGTAGAGGCCAAGGATGCTGCTAAACGTCCTACAAACAGCCCCCACAACAAGAATCATCCAGCACAAATACCAATAGTACCAAGGCTGAGAAACCCTGATCTAAACTAAAAAAAAAGAGGCCTAAGTTTGCCTCTATTTAGTCTTTCGGCAACCTTGCCAGTTTTCTGTAACTTCAGAAGGTGTGAAGAGCCTCAAGGATAACGGGGGTCAACTGAGACTAAGAAGTCATTCTTGGTCCAGAACTCACCTAATTTTCAAAAAGCACCTTGAGGGCACTGCTTCTCTTTGCAGAGCATGACCCTGGCTCTTATTTCAGAGGGAAATAAAACCACTGAAAAAGGGGCCTTGCAGAAAATGGAGACAGTAGGTGACACTGTGTGTTTCCCGGGAGGCCAGTGTGGCTGTCTTTCAGCAGGATGCCATTCAGTAGGTCTGCAGTCCAGAAAACTTCTTAGTGAAGTTTCTGACTTTAACCCAGTTTTCCAACTTAATCCAAAGTAAGTTAAAATCTTTAAATGTAATTTACTCTCAATGTTTGTTCATAGATCTAGATTATTTATGATTTTGTTAATTATTTATTTACTTAAACAATGAAATCACTCTGGAGCAACTGGAACAATGGGAAGAACAGACTGCAGGCTCAGAGGCCTTGGGTTAGCACCCACCTCTCCCCTGAGTTCCAGGCTCTGGTATCCTAAGGCCTACTCAGCGCCTCTGCTTTGATGTTTAATAAGAATCTCTGACTTTACATTTCGTAACAGAGCTGGTGATTTCTGCTCCTCACCTCTAGTATCTGCTCCCATCTTCTCCAAGTTGGTCAATGACACCATGGATCACCCAGTTGCATTAAGCCAAAACCTGGAGTAGCTATTTTTTGTTCATTCCTTTCTTCGATGCACCGCCCCCCCATCCAGCCTATAAGCAAGCCCTGTAACTCTACCTCCAATACATATCCTGCATCCAGCCTCTTTCTCCTTTCCACTGCCGACGTGTAGTCCAGGCTGCCATGGTTTCCCACTGGATTTCTTGAGCTCTTTCCACAGCTCCTTAACTGGTCTCCCTGCTTCCAGCCTTGCTGCCTTCCAGTCTCTCCTCCACACAGCAGCCAGAATGCTCTGATCCTGCACTCCCTGCTCAGAATCCTCCAATCCTTTCCCATGGCACTGAGAACAAACTCCTAGCATGACCGACCAGGACCTTCCATCGGCTTTCCCTCTCCTCTTTGCCCACTGACCCAGTGGTCTACAAAAATATACAGTAAAAATTTTTGAATGTATACTCCCATTATATACGTGTATATATTTGTAAATTATACATATATATCACTGTACTTATATTATGTGTAATTGAAAACATACAAAATCATAGAAATTACAAAGTATACAATAAAAATAAATGAAAAAGAAATTCTCATAGTTTCTTGCAACACCCATACTTCGGTACTTTGGTCTTTGGCTCCTGCTAGGGTGGGGCAGCCACTCTGGAGACCACACTGGCTCTGGCCACCCTGGCTGACATTCTGCAACACTAGGAGCCCCTTTCCACCTCAGAGCCTTTACACTCCCTGTTCTCTGGGTTTGGAACGTCTGTCCCCAGATCCTCACATGACTGGTTCCTCTTGTCACTCAGGTCTCAGTTCAAAGATCACATCCTCAGAGACCACGGCCACTCTGTACCAAAATAACGCCCCCACGTCCCTGACCCTCACACGATCCTGCTGTGCTTCCTTCAGGGCTTCATTGTCTCTGAAGGGATAATGGATTTATTTGTAAACTTATTTACTGCCTGTCTTTCCAACCAGTGCATAGCCCTAGGCAGGGCAGGGTCTTGGCTGTTTTGTGCACTGACACCGTCCCCAGTGTCTAGAACAGGGCCTGGCACCCAGGGTGCTCAATATATATTGATGTTTTCAGGAGTCTTGAGTATATCACAATCTCTCTGGCCTCATTGCTCTCACTTATCAATTGGATTCTATGACTTCTAAAATCTGTCTAGTTTAAAATAGAACTCTATTTCCAAATCTAATATTCTGGAGGGTCTGACTTATTCTATTTTGTGTAAACACTAAGTATGGTACATTACCAAAGTCAATATGAATTCATAACAAGAACCTTTAAATGAAATTCACTGAATAATAAGTATTGGAGGCAATCAAGAATTAAAGGCTCAAGAATAAATTGGATTTCAATGTGCAGGATGAAAGGTGATTAAGGCAATGGTCATAAAGAGAACAGGCATCTCCGGGTTGGAATTAGGAATGACCTTAACAGTAACAGTCATGGATAGGAGTTGCTGTCTAGAAGAACATTTCCCAAAAGGCAATAATTCTCCACAATGGTTTATTTAACTATTTTCCTATTTTTTCCTCACAGAGGCAGCATAGAGTTAAGGAAAGAGCATGGGTGGAAAGCTTTAGGTTCAATGTTCAATGCCACCAGTTACTAGCTGTGTGGCTTTGGGCAGTTACTAAGCTTTTCTGATTCTCTGGTTCTTCTTGTATAAAATAAGGTTGATAATGACTTCATGATAGTTGTGGTAAGTCAATGAGATGATGTATGTGGAGTGCCTGCAAGAGTTTCTGGCATAGAATAAGTTGCCAATAAATTATTGGTTGACTCAAAAGGATGAATGAATGAATGCACATTACTTCTCACTTTCATAAAGGATTTATATAGCTTACGATAAAATATACATCTATAATGGGAGAGTTTTATAAAGATAAAAGAAAGGTCAGCCACTCCTAGGTATACAACCAAGAGAATTGAAAACATATGTTCACACAAAAACTTGTACATGAATGCTCACAGCAGCATTATTCATAATAGCCAAAAAGTAGAAACAACCCAAATGTCCATCAACTGATGAATGGATAAACAAAATGTGGTATATGCACACAATAGAATATTATTCAATCATAAAAAGGAATGAAGTACTGATACATGCTACAATATGGATGAACCTTGAAAACATATGTTAAGTGAAAGCAGTCAATCACAAAAGACCACATATTGTATGATCCCAGTTATATGAAATGAGAGGCAAATCCACAGAGACAGAATGTAGATTAGTGGTTGCCAGGGTCTATGGGGAGGGGAAAACGTGGAATGACTGCTTAAAGAGTATGGGTTTTTTTTTTGGAGTGATGAAACTGTTCTGGAATTAGATAGTGGTGATGGTTGCACAATTCCGTGAATATACCCCAAACCACTGAATGGTACCCTTTAAAATGATTAAAATGGTGACTTTTAAGTTATGTAAATTTTACCTCAACAAAAAAAATTAAAAAGAAAGGTTATAAGCCAGATAGAAGACAGAGTAAGGGCGGGAACAATTATACCAGAAATAAAAATTTGATGCTAATTGCAATTAATTATTTCTGATGATTATACTTGGTTTTTCCAAATGTATTAGCTGAACTGTAAAAGAATGCTTTGATCAGCTAACACAAATGTTTTGCAGATACGGTTCTCATACACCACTGGTTGTCCAAGTGTAAACCCTGACCAGCACCAGCAGAATCACCTGGAAACTTGTTAGAAATACAAATTCTCATCAGCACTCCAGACCTGCTGAATCAGAAACCCTGGGGATGAGGCCCAGTAATCTGTGTTCTAACAAGCCCTTCATCTGGTTTTGATGTGTGCTAAAGTTGGAAAACCACTCTCACACAAATGGTAGTTACCAGGCAAGAATTCTTAATCAACTGGATTTCTGGTTTTTACAAATTAGGCTCATATGAGTTCAAGCAGCATTAGCCAATTCACTCCTAGGGTTCGTTATGCCATTATAAAAGCTACAGCACTAAAATATCATATTCTGCATCCCATAACATCCAGCCTGAAATAGCTATATCTTCCTCACCAACATGACACAGTGGGTTTCAATGCTAACACCAGTCTCTGCATACGCATGTCCACATGCACACACTCATTTTTGTACGCCCAATGTCTGGTGCAGGGCAGAACAAAGTAAGCACTCAAGACATGCTTGTGAAGAGAATGCATTCCGAATACGCTTGTGAGTATGAACATGCTGCCCCTTAACTCCTCCGCTTAAGACTTCAAGATGAAGGCATAAGCATCTTCTGAAATATCATACTGAAAGTAAAGATGAAATCTAACAGCTAAAGGGAGGAACGTTGCCAGTGCCTCTAGATAATAACTCGAAGAGTTTAAAAACTCACTAAAACCAGTAGAACTCCAGTTCACCACACTACATTCACGGAATAGGGTATGTATGCAACTGAGAAGAAACATGCTACAGCCACACACCAACACATCATACCTTTGCTGCACACACACAGATGTCTATAAGGGCGATCTCCAGACACTGACACACAGAGTCATCAGCACACACACACACACGGCCAACACTCAGAGCAGGAATCAAGCCCACCCTGACTTATTCTTGGGCCGCCTGACTAAGGCAGGAAAGGATGGGCTGGTGGGGTGTACGCCAGGAGGTGCCATTACCATCATTCTCCAGAGACCCAGGCGCACCGTTGTTAAAGATTTGATCCACATGATTCAATATGAACTCAATCACCACCTGCTGGACTCGGACTGCGAGGAAGGCTGCGTCTCCATTGCAACCAGTGGCTTCGATCTCTTTGGACCTAAATCGTAGAAGAAACACATTCAGTGAGCGAATCTGCTCTAGATACTGAAGCATAAGGGGGAGTGAGTGGGTCTTTTGTACAAGCCCCATCTCCTAGAGGTATACGGCTTGTTAATCCATAGAATATTTTAACAATTTAAGACCACCTAAAGGGACCCTCCGAAGGTTGTGTAGCCCAACACACTGAACTAATTTAAATCAGTTACCAGGTATTACACATTGCAAGACTATAAACACTATAATAGTGAATATACAGGAATTGATTTTTTTTCTTCGTAGGATCTCCTTCCACCACCACCCAATTGTTCTACGGTGCAGGTCATCATTTATGAAGCCATATGAAGCAGTTGATTCAGGTTACAGACAGCTGTGGCCCCACCAAAACCGACAAAAGACAATGAGCCCCAAAGACAAGAAAGGCCTTTTCAAGAAATTATAACATACAGACCCATAACTTCAGTCACATCCTGCTTGTAGCCAGAAAACACCTTTGGAACCCAGAATTTCTAGGTTGGCAGGCAAAGAGCGAAGGCTTTGAAAATCACCTTTAATTCATATGTGCTACAAGTGACCACTTAGCTACAGGTTTGTCTTCAAGGGGCTTCAATTCTGAAGAATCCAGTCTCTATTTCAATCAGGCGGCTGCTTTGAGCCCACTGGGGTGGTGAGAAGGTGAAGGTGGGGTGGTTACCTGAGGAGGTTTGGCGCCCACACCAGGGCCAGGTTCCTGGCGTGCATGTTGGTCTTGCTGCTGAAGGAAGCGATGTGGGCCAGGTGTCGAATCAGGTATTCCAAGGTCCTGTAATGGTGCATTTTTTTTTTTTTTTTTTACAAAGTAAGAAACTTCAGTGCCTGTGTGAAGCCTGACATCTGGAGATAATTTCTAAGTTTGGATTTAAGAGACTCTAAATATTTCTATTTTATGAACTTTGGAGGAATATCAGGAAGATATCAAGATTGATGGAAGTAATTTTCTAGGCGCTAGGCATGCTGGTCCGGGGTGGGAAAGGGAGACAGTCTTGTCAGAAGTCAGTCGAGGCCCTCGGAGCACCAGCCAGAGACAGAAGTGGGGAGTCACAGCACCCCAGAGCCTGGTTTCTTAGTGGCTCCCCGTTCCTCCTTTCACCCAGGGCAGAAAGGCCTCCACACTGTCTTGAAACCAGCTCTTATCCTGGCTCTTTCTGTAATTCTTCTAGCTACAGGTAACATGGTACTTGTTAGGGAGCTCATTTCATGGATGAATAACACCTATTATTGCTAGGAAGTGCTTTCTTATACCATACCAAAGTCTGCCCCTTGTGAAAGATGGGCAGGCATAGAGAACACTGGGAAAGGTGGTAAAATTAGGGGCTAAAGTGTGAGAAGGAAATGAAAGGATGGGATGATGTAAGGCACGGTACTGATGAGCAAATAGAGGCATCAGTCAGCCAAATGCTCAAGAGCCACGATCAAACTCTGTTTCAAAGCCATCCTGGTTTCCACAGATTTAGATGTGCTATGAATCTGGGTAAGAACCTAGGGTGTCACCGTGAGGCTGGCTTGTGTGATAGGAATGACTTCCTGTGGAACCCTGAGGGGTGACCTGGACACGGGCTGCCCGTTCCCACCAATGTCCCTGGTCAGGCACCAACTCATTCTGATAAAACGGACCATTCACTCACCTCAAATTGCCCCAGGAAAGCCACTGTCCACTGAATTTGCTCCCTTTTATGATGCCAGCCGGCCTCTTCAGTGTTACCTCACATTGAGAGGCTACAAACTTCATTTACCAAGGATTCTTACCTATAATGGGACGGGGGAAGCTCCTGGATAACATTTTGGATTCGGGCCAATTGGCCTTCTTCCGGGCAATGCGACACTGCCTCCTGCGGGGAAGAACATGAAGCAGCCCAGTGAGTGGTGGAGAGGGTGGGCACCCGCCTGTGTCTGCGGGTGTTATTTAGGCCCCTCATACTCCAGCCTCTCAACCACACCTAGAGATCAGCTTCCCACGAGGCATGCTTTTCTAGTCAAAACAACCAAAATCTCTGAGGGTTCATAATGTGAAGTGTCTAATAATGTGTGCACACGGGACGTGTGGATTGCTGAGGTCTCTGTGCATCCTCAGATGGTTGTCAGGTATCCAGTAAAGAAGGTGTAGTATCTTGGGTGTGTCCATGTGGCAGAGAGTCACGGAGACTCGCAGTGGGAGAGATAAAGAGACAGAGGCAGAGGGAGACTGTGAGATGGAGATGACAGGGTGGCTCCATCTTCACTCAGCCAGCCGTCTTCTTGGGTGCCAACAGCCACTCCCCACAGCCTGAGACTATGCCATGACCTCGCCACTCAGCGGCTGCCTGTCACAGATGCCGGGAAGCGGGAAGACGTGCCTTCTCAGCAGGATAAGAGCTTTGTCCCTGAGACCTGGTGGCCTTGCCCTGACTCGCTCTCTGGTTGTTTCCTGTGTGGGAATTTTGTTCCCCCCTCAGCTCAGAGCCCTCAAGGAGAGGGAAGGACGTCAGTAAAGGCAGTGTGATCACAGGCTTCCTGGGGCTTCTGCACAACGCAGGCATTCCTGGGCAGAGTCCCCTGCGCCCTGTCCTGAGAATCTGTCCCGCTCATGCCCAGGGGCCCCTCCCAGTGCAGGGGCTGAGTGCTTGAGAACTGCCACCATGGGAGCGGTACTTCTTAAATTCAAGGTCAATGGGAATACATCTTCCTTTTTTTATCGAGATATAGTTTAAATATATTTAAAATGTACAAATCTTAAGCTAGAGCTGCATGAGTTCTTTCATACGCCTATACCCATGTAACCCCACCCAGACCAAGAAACACTTTAAACGGGGCTCCTGAGCTCAGTTCAATCCTTATGATCCTGAATTCACAGGCATATGTGACTTCCACAGTCTTGTCTTTCCTCCCGGTGCTGGAAACTTGCTTTACATTTGTATATAATGAAAAGTATAATCAGAAAATAGACTCTTTAATTTGGTAAATACTGCCCCCAGCAATACAACCCAAAATAAGATTCTAGCTGTGGTGTGGTTTTCTTGTATTGTTCATTTCTGTTCGGTCTTTAGCTGTCATTTCTTGCTTGTATGAAAAGGCTGAAGTTCAACTCTCAGTGACGAGAATTTTTAGGCGAAGAAAAGTGGAAGGAAGTTAACTTTGCTGTGTGCCAGGCCCTGCTGCAGGCCGCACATGCTGTGTCTGTTCTAACTTCAAGGAGAACTCCAAGGCGCTGCCCCAGCCTGCAGCTCCCAAACCCCCTCACTTGTCTCTGTTTGTTTCCCCAGCACTGACCACCATTACTTATACTAGATAGTGTACTTATCTATTAAGTTTATTGCTTACTGTCTGACTCCCTCGCTAGATGTGAGCTCTGTAAGTGCGGGGATGGGATGAGTCCCAGGGCCTAGAATGGTACCTGGCACACAGTAGGTGCTCCCTCTGGATTGGTTAAATGACTATATTTACTCTATGTCCCTAAGTGGACACCATGCCAAGTTTTTTTCTGTTTTTCCTTTTTTTATTAATTGAAGTAAAACATACACAGAAGCCAACTATTTCTAAAGACAACCAAAACTCTCTACACGGGAAAACTTGAGATTTTGTTTCCTAAGCAGAAGTGGGGAGAAAGGCAGGACTAGGAGGGTCACAGTCACAGGTGTCCCAATCTTCTAGTGGGTTTGCAAGCCTGAGAACAGAGCCAGCCTAAGTGAGATCTCTGGCGCCCGCCTCTCTTCTTGAGATACGCAGGATAGAGGGGCGGGGACAAGAATGGGGCCTGGAGTAAGCACCCTGACACTTCTGCTCTCTTCCTGGGAACTGTCATCTAGAAAACAGATTTGTGGAGAGGACCCGGACTCCCAAGGCGGGGAGAGCCTCATCAGGGGAGCTGAGTGAGAGCAGCTCCAGGGGAAGGAGAAGCCGTGGAATGTGGGGTGGACCCTCCCACATACTAGCCTGCAAAGGGGGAGGGGTGCGAGGCCTCTCTACCTCCCTCCGCAAAAAGGTTTGCACAGCACCCCACCCACCCACCCTCGCTGCCCTTTCTAGAAATGTGTTTGAGGAATAAAGGTGTAGGTCGATTTAACAGCCCTCATGGAAAGTTCCTTTAATATTTTAGGAAGCTGTGAGTCGTCTTTGTGCTGAGAGGCGACGGGATCGCCCGGGATGCCTGCAGGCCCCATTTGGGATTGGCATTTATTTCATTATTCACAGCCTCTCCCCATGGCACCCCAATCCTAGTCAGAAGCTCTCTAGATCCCCGTTTTTCTCCTGGAGGGGTCCGGTCACTGCAAACTTATTTTTAGCTCTCTGTCTCTTTCCTCATCAGGATGGTGGAACGCATCATTGGGGAATTGGGGGAGGGGAGTTGAAACTTTGCCCATTCCAATTTTTTGCCTGAAACAGAATTTCACTCAACATTAGCCAAGCCAATCTGGCTAATGGTTAAATCTTAAAAGATCTAGGATGAGTCTGTGACTATTTGTTCTCTTCCAATCAGTATCAATAAGCCCAGCTTCCTGCCCTTTGAGGACTCTGGCAAATGCCCCTCATTCTTGTTTTCTCTGTTGCCCAAACACCACTGCCTGCTCCTCCCCTCCCACCCCGCAGCTCAAGTCCTGCTGGCAGCCCTGTCACCAGGGTGCACAAACAACCCATGGCTCTCCCTTCCTTCTGCACCCAGCTGCCACTCAGTTTTTGCCCTTTATTTTGTATTAATTATTTAAAAATTATTATAAATCCATTTCTATTACGTTAAGCTAAAAAGTAATTCATGCACATGATTTTTAAAATGCAAAGCATTCAAAGGAATACACAGAGGAAAGTTAGTCTTCCTTCCAACTGGAGGCCCTCAGCCTCCAGAGGCAACCACTTTGTGTCCTTCCAGACAGTCTTTATACCCATCGGTCTCTGTCACACCCGTGGAAACAAGCACGACTACGAGACCAGGCCCATCTGCCAATTCCCCGTCTCCCATCACTTTCCTCCTTGCTTGCCCTGCGCCGGCCATGCTGGCCTCTGCATATTCCCTCAAGCAAGCTCGGCGTGTCCTCCATCAGGGCCTTTGCACCTGCTGTTTCTTCTTGGCACCCTCTTCCCCCAGATGTTTGCACAATTTGTTCCCTCACTTCACCCTTGTCTCTGCTCAGATATTGCCTCACAGAGAGAGACCTCTGATTATCCTACCAAAAACAGTGGTTCCCATCATCCTCTTCCCTGTACCCTGCATTCATTTTCTTCATAGTACTTATCAACAGTTCTCATTATAGAGTTATGCTTTAAATTTGTTTACTATCTATCTCCTTCATTAAAATGTAAGTTCCATGAAAGCAAGGATTTTATCTGTCTTGCTCTCCATTAAATCCCTAGCACCTAAAACTGTGCCTGCCAGGTCTACACAGTAGGTGCCTGAGATGATAGAAAACAGACATTAGTCTCTGCCCCCGGTTCCTAGCACAACAGGGCTCCTGAAACCCTTGTAATTTCCTGGATGATAGGAGTGTCTTTGTTCTAATGAGGCAACTCGGTGGGCTCCTGGATGAAGGCTGGTCACCAGAAAGACCAAGTCATGACTGTTGTTAGTGCCGTGGAGTCGACTGTGACTCCACTCCACAGGATGACAGATGGGTGGTGTGGTTCCCTGACCAGGAAACAAACCCAGGCTGTGGCAGTGAGAGCACCGAATCTCAGCCACTAGAGCACCAGGGCTGGCTAAGTTCTAATGAGAAGCTTGAAATTTTCAGCCCCCTCTCCCCATTCTCTTGAGAAAGGAGAAGGGCTGGAAATGGAGTTAATGATCGATCACGCCCACGTGATGAATCCTCCATAAATCCCAAAATTGTGAGGTTCAGAGAGCTTCCAGGTGGGTGAACGCGTCCATACTGGGAGGGTGACACACTCTAACTCCACGGCGACAGAAGCTCCTGCGCTCGGGACCCTCCCAGACCTTGCCCTCTCTGGCTAGCTGGTATCTCTTCACCTGGCTGTTAACTGATAGACGTAAGTAAGTGTTTCCCTGAGTTCTGTGAGGCGCTCAAAGGAGTAGGAGGTCATGGAAACTTCCGATTTGTAGCCAAGTCAACAGAAGTTGTGGGTAATCTGGGGACCTACTGCTTATGATGGGCATCTGAAGTGGGGTGGGGGCAGTCTTTCGGGACTGAGCCCTTAACCTGTGGGATCTGATGCAATCTCAAGGTAGATAGTGTCAGAACTGAGTTAAATTCTAGGACCCCCAGTTGTCGTCACAGAGAATTGTGTGGTGTAGGAAAACCCCCACACATCTGGTGTCAGAAGTGTTGTGCGTATGGTGTTCTGTGTGAGTAGCAGAGGAGACAGAACTGGAGGGAAAGACTGAGTTTTCCTAACACAGTGCCCAACAGACCTTTGTTGAATGAAATGAGTAAGTGAACGAGTCCATGTTTTCCCTTCTGTTTTAAAATGCCAAACAGCCACGTTCTGGCCATAATTCCAGGACAGTACCCCCCGAGTATTCCCCATCATGGGGAACAACAGCATCGCTGAGGCAAGTCCCCTCAACCTTGGGATCCTGGCAGAGTGACCAATCATCCTGGTTTGTCTGAGATGGGGGGTTTCCCAGGACACAGGACTTTCAGTGTTAAAACCGGGGGCATCTCTGGCAAACCAGAACAGTTGGCTGCTGCCCTCCTCTGTGGTCATCTTGGGATCACAGCCAGCCTGTTGCCATGCACTAGTAATCCACCCCAAGTGACATTTCCAGTGATGTGTGTGGGTCAACAACCTGTCAGCAGACGTCTACTAGGTAATAGTCACACATTTTCCAGTAGCTGGAGAGCAGGGAAAGGAAACAAAATAATGAATAAAATAAACACAGTTCCTGTCCTCAGGAGCTTATAAT